AAGGGGGCAGGGGTGAGGGAGAGTGGGCAGGGGTGAAGGAGAGTGGGCAGGGGTGAGGGAGAGTGGGCAGGGGTGAGGGAGAGTGGACAGAGACCAGCCAGCAGGGCAGGATGGACAGTACTGAGACACTGGAGAGGCAGGCAGGATGGGGACACATCTGACCAGTACAACAGGTAGGATCGGTGCTGGCCGTGTGTGAGGCCGAGGGTCAGAATAACCTCCAGGGTTCTAGCTTTCGCCATCAGGAAGGTAATGCCTAGTTATGGCTTGGCCCAGAGGACAGGGAGACCTGAGGGCTGGGAGGAGAAATGTGCAGACTCCAGCCACCCTCGGACGTCATGTGGTCTGAGACCTTCGTGCTCTGAGACACGGTCTGGAACTAAGAGGAGCTGCCAGCGTGGTGGCCAGTCTGGAATCCACTTTCCAAACCATGGAGCAAGTAGCAGGACAAGAGCTGAGGCTGGGGATTGTCCAGAGAGAGGACACTAAAACTAGGTCAACAGTGGTTATGATCTGATAGTAGAATTGAGGGCAAGGAATATGTCTTCTTTTCTCAGCCCCTCCCCTCGCCTTCCCCTCTTCTCCCTCCCTCTCTTTAATTATTTTTATTTTTATTTTATGTGCATTGGTGTTTGCCTGCATGTATGTCTGCCTGTCTGTGTGAGGGTGCCAGATCCCCTGGAACTGGAGTTACAGACAGGTGTGAGCTGCCCTGTGTTCACAGGGAAATTGACCCTGGGTTCTCTGGAAGAGCAGCCTGTGCTCCTAACCACTGAGCCATCTCTCCAGACCCTGTCTCTCTTTTTCTTGCTGTGGGTGGAATCCAGGGCCTTGCTTATGTTTGACAAGTGCTTTACTTCTGAGTGAGTCTCCCAGCCCCTATTTTCTGTATGTTTTACTTTTATAGTAATGATATATTGCCATTTCAATAAAAAAAATAAATCCATCCTATATTGAAAAAGTGAAAAAGTTCCCAATAGGTTTAAGCACTGCTAAAAAGCCAAGCACAGTGAAGACTGGGGTCCACAGCCAGCACCCCTTCCCCTCCCCAGGTTCCAGCCCCGAAAGGAACAAGGACGTTTCTGGTGGTCTTGTTTCTGCCTGTGACTCATTTTCGGGCTAATCAAGCCCTTTCCCAGGACACTAATAAATTGGGTAAATTGGGAGGAAGCCAGCTCTGGCTCCGTACAGTGTGAACTAGGAAGCTGGTGGCTGCCAAGAGGCTGAGGACAGGGCAGCGGGGTACAGAACGGCAGGCTGAGGTGGAAGCCTGTGACCAACCAGCCCCTAGGTGGAGAATCTCCATTCAAGGCTAATGGCGGGCCAGCCTGAGCTGGCCGGAACAGCTGGGCAAAGTGGAGAGAAACGGCAGGCAGGGCTGGAGAGATCCTCCGAGAGCTGGGACGCTCATTTCTGTGAAAAGCTTAAAGGCTTCAGGGGTGGCCTGATTACACTGGATGATTAGCTGTGCTGGGGGATGCAGGATGAGGAGCAGTGTGAAAGATCCCGGAGGATCCAGATCTGGCCGGTAACGGTGGGGGTCTGGGTAAGCGGCAGGTGCTGCTGCTGTTCCTAGGATGGGAAGGGAAGGCATGGCTTCTGTTCTGACACACTGAGGGCCGGGTGCACCTCCAAATGGAAATGCCTTCAAGCGTGGGGGCAGGAGGCAGGGCAGTGCTGAAGGCTCCTGGAAGGTGCACTAGAATTGTGTCTGTCCTCAGTGCCACCGCCAGTGTTCAGAGCCACAGGGCTTAGCTGACTGCACCTGGGAGGAAGTGAGAACATGCTTCAACCCAAAAGCAGGGTGGAAACTGTCCTTGTTAACGCCCTCCAGCTCGCCACCCTGCCTCACATCCCACCCCATGCTGCCGAGGATAGATCTGTGGAGCAGTCGGAACAATCTGAAGGTGGGTGGATCTGGAAGATAAATTGACATGGGTGAAGCAGAGTCAGCTTGTCACGGGAGCTTGTCACCCTTGCCTGAAATCTGGAATAAAAAATAGCCATGAGGCTGGAGGTGCGGCTCAGTGGTAGTATGCCTCCTTTGCATGTATGAGGCCCTGGGTTCATGCCCAGCAGAAGGGAGGAGGGAGGGAGGGAGGGAGGGAGGGGGAGAAGTGGAGGGAAATGGACTCTGTGTTAGATAACAGTAGACAATACTGTATGTTAGATAATTTTGTGGCTTAATTTCTTGCATGTAATAATGTCCTATGAGAAGAGAATCCTGGTCCTTAGGAGACACACTTTTCTGCACCATAGACATGGACAGGAAAACTGAAGAAAGGCTCTGGCTTTATGTGCTTTTAGTTACTTGCTTTTGTTGCCAACTTTAGAGGTCCCTCTCACTAGCTCCCTGTAGATGACACCTCCGGCGTGTGTGTGTCACGGTGGTCATGAAGTTACTTGAGAACACCACCCCTTCACTTGGGCTGGAGTGCCAGCTGGATGCCCCTTTCATCAGAAAACGCACACAGCCCCCGGAGCACAAAGGCACCACCCGTCCCGATGCCTGTCCTAGATCCATGAGGTGTGCACAGGCAGTATGGACCACAGGGAACTTGCCTTAACCTTGAATCAGCCTCCCCATTAGGCCACCCTGCCTCTCTCTTCAGAAGGACCCTGAAACCCTGTCCTCAGGGAGAAGGAGTTAAAACTTGGGGCTCCAGTTCCTCGCCCTTGGCTGCCTCTAGAATAAACACACTGTTTCGGGGATTGGTGCAGTGAGCCAAATGGGCTGCTTTAGTTAGCTACAGTTAAGGATGAAAGAACAGCATTCCTGAAGCTGCTCAGTGGCTCAGCAGTGCTAAACATGCATATGTGTGCATGTGTTTAGATATATGTACATGAGGCAGATCTCTGAGTTCAAGGTCAGCCTGGTCTATAGAGCCGGTACAGCCAGAGCTACACAGAGAAATTGTCTGTCTGTCTTTCTTTCTTTCTTTCTTTCTTTCTTTCTTTCTTTCTTTCTTTCTTTCTTTCTTTCTTTCCTTCTCTCTCTCTCTCTCTCTCTCTCTCTCTCTCTCTCTTTCTTTTTGTTTTTTGTTTTGTTTTGTTTTTCAAGACAGGGTTTCTCTGTGTTGTTTTGGTGCCTGTCCTGGTTCTCACTCTATAGCCCAGACTGTCCTTGAACTCACAAAGATCTGCCTGGCTCTGCCTCCCAAGTGCTGGGACTAAAGGCGTGCACCACCACTGCCCAGCTCGAGAAACTGTATTTCAAAAAACAAACACAAATAGCCAAGCAGACAGATGTCTGTGAGTTCAAGGTCAGCGTGGTCTACATAGTAAGTTCCAGGCCAGAGTCACACAGTGAGACTGTCTGAAAACAAAACAATAAATGCAGAAGGACACTTGAAAGGTAGGCTGCATTGAGCTTCAAGAAACCCCCAAAGAACAGAGCCAAAAGGTGGCCCAGAGGTCCCTGAGGCTTTGGAGAGTCTTGACAAGGTGTCAAGGTGTAGGGTGAGCACGAGATAGATAGGATCCTCCTGGCTTTTCCTAGTGACCACTTCACACAAATGCTTCCCAGTGTGATTCACCGCTGACTAGACCTGTGCCAGCAAATATAACATGAAGTACATTCGGGAATTTAAAAACATCAGTTGTTGAAGATGGCGGCCGCCAGGGCAGCAGTGACGTCTGATGGCAGGCCAGCAGCAGATGCCGTAAGGTAAGTCCCCCTGGTCCTTTTCTTAGGGAGACAGATCCTCACTGGCTTCACTACAGATGACTCTTTAGAGCCATGGCTACCCATCTTACAGATGGAGAAAGCGTTGTCAGTGACAGTTCCCAGCAGTGCTGAGGGCAGAGAGTGTGTGAGTCATCCTGTGGCTCCCCACGCCTGGCAGCTGGCGAAGTGCCAGGGGAAAGGGACAGGGAGGGAGGGGGTGGGGTAGCCCTGTGGTGGCCGCGAGCCGGCTCGCTGACTGCTGTACACAGATGGTCTCACTTAAGCTTGATGGAACCTCTGGGGGTGGGGCTTATTAACCCCTAGAGGGAACCCGGGGCTAAGAGGTTAACCAGCGTGCCAGAGGTCATACAGCACCAACAAGCTTGGACGTCTTTGAACAAAGGCCTGTGCCCTTGACTGCCTGTCTGAACACTGGTGTCCGACAGAGCGTGAGTGGACTTTGGGAATTCTGGAAGCCACTTTACTTAAAAGTGATTAGCACCGTGCTGAACACCGATAATTGTGGCTGGCTGGCTGGCAGCGCTAGTGACTGAGTGAATGAATAAATGAAGTGGGAGCTTGACTTCTTGGCTTTCCTTCAAATGGAAAATTTCCCCCCAAAGCCTTTGACTGCTTGATCTAATTAAAGCCAAAAGGCACTGGAGAATCACTGGGTCGGTCCTTTATTAGCTGTTTATGTGTCAAGGTCAGAGATTAGTCCTTAGCTGCCGCCCTCTCATCTGTAGGTGTGAAACCGATGGATTGACAGGTGGGGCTGTGCCCTCGTGGGGACAGGGACGATTGGTGCTCTCAGATACTGTCATCTAGCCTGCTCCTTGCTGGTCAGGCTGCCTGCCAGGTCACAGCTTTTGCACTAAAATTGAGATGAGTGGCAGATGCTGGCTAGCCCTGGGCAGTTCTCATGGATGCCATCAAGATGTGGATGGCAGTGTGTACCTACCTGGCCGATAAGCTGCTATGATCACAGAGATGATTTTGTCAGAGTAGCTTTATTTACTGTGCTCTGATTTCAGACTCCCGTGATTTCCCTAAATGTGGAAAACTCAACTGTGCCATTTGGGGTAGAGGAACCACATCCCTGCTTTCCCCTGGTGGAAACAACAACAGAAACAAATCAAAATGATGGAGGGCTTTGGAGTTGTCTCTTAGTCGGGAAAGAATGAGGTGTGAGAGGTAAGGAAGGATGGTTTTGAATCGTCACAAAGCAGCTCGGGCAATGTCTCAGTCAGGCAGACTCGAGAAGGTAAGTTTTGTCTCTCTTGAGCCCATGTGTCCATGTATCTCAAATCCTTGGGATGAGGAAGGACTCGAACATCATTTATTCTTTTCCATCAGAGCCAAACCTGATTCTGCCTGACCTAAGAAAGGCATCGGAGGTCGTTTCCAGTGCTTTCTTGTCCTTGTAACTCAGAAATGTTTTCCACAGCAGACAGCTCTCTGGGTTTAAACCCGTCAAACAGTCAGGGACGGTGGCTCCTGTGTTTAATCCCAGCACTGTGGAGGCTGAAGCAGGAGGATCACAAATTTGAGGTCAAGTTGAGCTACATAACGAGACCTTGTCTCAAAAAGCCCAAAAACAAAATAAAAAACCTCTAAACAGTTCGTTTCAAAAACATATATAACAAAATTAAACAAAACAACCCCCCAACCTACCATCATTGTATTTTATTGGAAACAGTCCAGGTTCAAGGTCTAGTTGGAGCAGGGACTGTCTCCTCTCCGGGTTTGTTTCTGGATAGGCAAGGAGCAAAGTCCTTTTTCTCCTAACTGGTGGCCAGGCTGGACTCAGGTTCCACAGAGCTCCAGAGAGAACCAGCCACTGCAGCATCTGGTGGGATGCAGTCCAAGCTCTATCCTCAGTATCCCCATGAACTTAAGTGATTTCATCTTGAAGAGTGGCCATGACCCTCCCCCAGAGTTCTGTGGCTAAGTGATGAATAACTGCCCTCAGGCCCTGGGTTATAAGAGGTGATGGAGGAAGGATCCTGGATGCCCACACACCAACCAGGTACTGGGATAATATAACATGGTGCATGATGTGTTCATTGTGGCTGAGAAGAACAGCCTGACTGCAGGGAAAGGGAGCTGGGAAAGTGGCTATCAGAGGAGTTTCTGGATGGGGGTAGAGCTCAGTGATGGCACCTTGGAGGTATCATGCTGGTCACGCATTCATACAGCTCTGGGTCAATCCCCCACACAAGAAAAACAAAAGCTGCCAGGCGGTGATACATACCTTTGATCCCAGCACTCAGGAGCCAGAGGTAGGCAGATCTCTCTATGAGTTCAAGGCCAGCCTGGTCTACAGAGTGAGTTCCAGGACAGCCAGGGCTATACAGAGAAACCCTGTGTCAAAAACAAACAGAAAAAAAAGAGAAAATAAAAACAAAAAAACCCCAGACTGAGTGGCCGCTAGACTAGCTGCCTCAGCCTCACCGGGAAAGGCAACAGCAACACAGACATCAGTTCGCACCCAGCTGAACTCTGGGAGCTGGCCTGCACTTGCACTTGGCTTCGTGGTGTGTGCGTACCTGTTGTGTGTATTCATGTGTGCTGTGCACATGGCAAGAGTCTTCACCTGTGTGGAGTTCAAAAATTGATGCTAGGTGTCTTCTGTCACCTTTTTTTTTGTCTTTTGAAATGGGCTCTTACTGAACCTGAACCTGGAACTCTTGGCTCGATTGGCTGGCTGGCCAGTGAGCCCCAGGATCCACCTGTCTACCCACCCAGTGCTCAGTTATAGACACGTGTTGCCACATCCAGCTTTTCCCTGGATGCTGGTGATCTGAATTGAGGTCTTCCTGATTGTACAGCAGACGCTGTAACCACTGCCTCATCTCCTAAGCCCCAAACCTGCCCTTCTTCATAGCAGGTGAACCCTGAGCTACACTGCAGCGCTCCTGACCAAAGTTTCTTTAATAATGAAGCCATTTAACACCTTACCTATTCTGCAAGTGCATTCAGACTTAGAGGAGCAGAGTATGCAGAGTCTGTGGCTGGCTTCCTCCTGAGGCACTGTGATGGCTAATCAACAGTCAACTCGTCTGGATTCAGGTCATTGTGGAAAAGTATCTCTGGGTGTCTATGAAAATGTTTCCAACAAGGTTTAGATAAAGAGAGAAAACGGCCCCTGAATGTGGTGGCCAGCACCATCTCCATGGGCTGGAGTCCTAGACCATTTCAAAAAGGAGAGGGGGCCCAGTGGTGGCGGCGCACACCTTAAATCCCAGCATGTGGCGGATTTCTATGAGTTTGAGGCCAGCCTGGGCTACCAAGTGAGTTCCGGGACAACCAGGGCTGTTACACGGAGAAACCCTGTCTCGAAGGCATTTTAAAAAAAAGAAAGGAAAAGTGAGTGGAACTCCAGTATTCATCCATCTCAATGTGGACGCAGAGTGCCAGTCGCCATGGCTTCCCCATTGTGAAGGATGGTATGCTGTCAAATTATATGCTAATATAAACTCTTCCCTCCCAAACTTACTTCTCTTAGGTATTTTAACCATGGCAACAAGAAAACTAATGGAGACACTAAGGGATCTTTCCTTGTGTGAGAGCCAAAGTTACATTTTAAGTTTTAATTACTATGTCTTAGAGATCCATGAAACAAAAATGCCTCTGATCTGCAAGCCTCTTGCCCAAGGACAGATAGTTCCTGAAATGCTGGAGGCTATTGTGTATGGGAGATAACAAGCCACAGGTTTTCACTCCCCTAAACAAGTTTGTTTGACCCATATTCGCTGGATGTGCTTGATCACATGTGGGCGGGAGGTTCCTGGGCAGGAAATGTCAGGATGTACACTTGTCCCTGATTAGACCTGATGGGAAATACCTTAAGCCCCTGCAAACTGTGACTCGGGCCATTTTCTGGGAAATCAGAGATAGATGTGGCCAGAGAGTCCGTCAACCTGGCCAGTGTTTCATTAAAACTTGCTTCAAATTAGACTCTAAACTGTGGTAGTGGTCTTATTCTCAATCAGTGGGATTAACAGCAATGGTTCTTGGACCAGAAAGAACCATAGTTTTATGGAGAACGTTATGGTGGCAATCAGTAGTCGAATCTGAGGGTCAGTTTACTTGTTGGTTTCTGGAGTCCCTGTACCATCCTTTCTCTTTGCTGTTATAATCATTGTCTGAGGGAGCCTGGGAGGCTTTGCCTTGAAAGATTTAATATCTTTTTTTTTTAAATCTTTTTTCTTTTCTTCTTTTTTTTTCTTTTTTGGTTTGGTTTGGTTTTTCAAGACAGGGTTTCTCTGTGTAGCTTTGGAGCCTGTCCTCAATTCATTCTGTAGACCAGACTGGCCTCGAACTCACAGAGATCTGCCTGCCTCTGCCTCCTGAGTGCTAGGATTAAAGGCGTGCGCCGCCGCCGCCGCCGCCGCCGCCACCCAGCAGCAATTAATATCTCAAAAACCTCAACAACAAATTCAAGTCTAGTCAGTGTGTTAATCACTTAACCCCTCAATGAGGCTGGACAGGTGAGAAAGTTGGGACCAAGAAGCAAATTGAGTTCTTTGAATGAAGTTCAATGGAAGTTAAACCAGAGCCTGAAATGCCACAGCCCTGTGAAGCATGAAAATGAAAACAAAATTTGAACGACTCAGCAGGTGGTGAGTGAGATCAGCTGCCTAGAAGAATAGAATGAAAGGGACCGTCTGCAAACGGGTCACCTGAGTTCCTAAGGAAATGTAAACCTGTACCTTGTATTTTCAGGTGACCCGAACACTGAGGCCAACAGTTTGAAGCCAGCCAGGTCTACATAGTGAGTTCCAGGTTAGCCATGGCTACACCGGGAGACCCTGCTTCACAGATAACAAACAATGAGGCCAGGGTCATAGAAAATAAACGAAGTGATGGCGTAGGCCTTTTAGTCCCAGAACTCAGGAGGCAGAGGTAGTGAATCTCTGAGTTTCAGGCAAGCCTTTTCTACATGGGAAGATCCAGGCTAGACAGGCTATATAGTGAGACCCTGTCTCAAAAAAGCAATGCCCCCACACACGCATAAAAACCCTCAAAAAACACCTCAAAATTGGACATGGTGGCACACACCTTTAATCCCAGTACTCAGGAGGAAGAGGCAGGTGGATCTCTGTGAGTTCAAGGCCAGCCTGGTCTACAGAGTGAGTTCCAGGATCAGCCAGGGTGGTTACACAAAGACACCTTGTCTCCAAAAACACAAAAACAAAACATTATTTGTGATTATTTGTCACATGTTTACAATGTGTGTGTGTGTGTGTGTGTACACGTGTTCATGTGTGAGAGCATGTGTTTGCCATGTGTGTGTGCGATTGGAGGTCAACTCCTGGTGTTGGTCCTTGCCCTGGCCAGCTTGTTTGAAGCAAGGTGTCTGTGTTTGCAGCTGGGCTGCCCACTCCAGGCTAGCTGGCCTGCAGGCTGCAGGGAATTCTCTTCTCATTACCCTCCATTTTTACCACCACAGGAGAGCTGCGATTACAGGAACCCATGGAAAAGCTGTACACTGAGGGGAGTCGACACCCAAATGTTTTGCTTTGTGGGCCTGTTTTCTTTCTGAAGTGAAGAGCCAGGCATCCTGGGTAATGTACCATTCTCCGGGCATTTGGATCACATTCTTCCTGAATCTGGCAAGTGGGACAGAGAGGCCTAAAGAACTAACAAATAGATTCTGGATGATGGCGATATTTAAAACTTTATTGCCAGGTGGTGGTGGCTCATGCCTTTAATCCCAGCACTCGGGAGGCAGAGCCAGGCGGATCTCTGTGAGTTCGAGGCCAACCTGGTCTACAGAGCAAGATTCAGGACAGGTCCCAAAGCTACAAAGAGAAACCCTGCCTCGAAAAACAATATATCTATATATATATATATTTTTTTTTTTCATTTTATTTATATGGGTTTTTTTCTTGCATGTATATTTGTATACAACATGCCTGCCTGATGCCCTTAGAGGTCAGAAGAAGGTGCCAGACCTCCTGAAACTGGAGTTACAGGTGTTTGTGAGCCACCACGTGGGTGCTGGGAATCAAACCTGGTCCTCTAGAAGAGCAGCCAGTGCTCCTACCAATGAGCCATCTCCAGCCTGATTTTTTTTTTTTCAAGGGGTGGGGATCTTACTCTGT